GAGGGGAAGAATGAAGCGGGGGAAATCGGAGGGGTAGACGAACCATGAGAGACGATGGACTCTGAAAAACAAACAGGGTTCTAGAGGGGAGGGGGCTGGGAGGATGGGTTAGCCTGGTGGTGGGTATTGAGGAGGGCACATTCTGCATGGAGCACTGGGTGTTGTGCACAAACAATGAATCATGGAACACTACATCAAAAACTAATGATGTAATGTATGGAGATTAACATAAGAATAAAAAAATAAATTAATTAAAAAAAACATTAAAAAAAACATTTCAATAAATAGAAAAAGAAATTTAGGGAGAAAAACATGAGATAAAAGAAAGTAAAAAAAAAAAAAAACCCACCAAAAAAACAAAAAAACAAAACATGAGATTAAGATTCAGGAAAAGATGACCATAAAATGGAAAAAAAAAAAGTATAAAATAAATTAAGGACAATCTATTAAAACTGATCTAAAGTATGGTTTCTTATTTCCAGTTCAATATCCCTTGCACTGATTTTGCAATCAATCCTTACTGCATTTGGAGTTCTGTTTAATTTCAAGTTATGGTTTTATAGAAAAGAAAAAGAGATAATAAAATATAACTAAAAATACAAATGAAGCCATACGTTGAAGCCAACATAGATACGTTGACATATGAGGGCCGTTTTTTCCGTAGACATTTTTTCCATGGTTGATTATATCTATACTTCACTGACTCCTTTTCAGTAATCCTTGTTTTATTTATTCCTACCTAAAATTAGCACATAAAAAAGGTGAAATTAATTTAAAAACATGAAAATTACTTACCTATATAGTAAAACATAAGGAATTATGAATGTGACTGATTTAGGAAGGAGAATTGTCTTGTAAAGATGCCTAATCCAAGACTTTCCAGCAAAATTCATCAAAGAGGAAATTATTGGTGCTCATTAAATCTAGTTTTTCTCTCCTCCCTCATGCCCCAGGAAGACCGCCCACCTCAGGTTGTTGGGAGAGGCCATGTGATTAGTTCTGGTCCATGGCTCTGGGTGGAGGTGATGTTCCTCACTTGCAGCCTGGAGAAGAGTATGAGTGCCCCACATTCTCTCCTTCCCTGTTCACGGCAAACCCAAAGCCACCTGTTGCCATGGTAGCGCCACTAGGAGGTGGAGCTTCCATCAGCTTGCACCTCCGAGAGATTGTGTGCGGAAGAGGGGCCTCCCCTTCTCATGCGAACAGCATTGAACATACAGTGCGAATAAGAAATAAAAATTCCTTGTGTTAAGCCACTGCGGTTTCGCGGTTAATTTGCTACCACAGCATAATTTAGCCTCCCTTGACAGGAGCTCCCTGTGCCTCACAAATCATTTGCAAAAGTCTTTGCTAAATTTCTTTAAGTTATGTTTAAAATTTTCCTGTGTAAACTGACATATACCCAAGGTCATTAGAGCCTTTTTTGAACACTTTCGTTGGAAATTGGCTTTATTAGGAAAGACATTGATATTTCTATGGAGTATAATAAACTAAGGAAAAATGAAATGTCTGACAACCAGAATACTTTTGCTCCCTGAGAAAGCTTATTCTTCCTCCTCCCTTCGCTCACTGTCCATAAACAATAAATGCAGAAGATTTTCTGAGAAAATGCCTCACTAATTTGTGGAATTAACCTCAAAAGACTTTGAGATTTTCAGCTAATAACCTTTCAGTTTTGGAATTGGATTCTGTCCCTTAGAAAGCTGTATCTATATTGTTGAACCAAAATTTAAGAAAACACAAATATTATTTAACCAGAAAAAATAATACCACAAATGTTAACCTGTTCTCTTGATAATTTGGAAAGCTTGCAGTCTGTTTCAAACCTCAATATAAGTATTTTTTCAGCTAGCCAATTCTCTCTCTGTAACCCAGTTGTCCCCATTCCTGTTCACATTGGTGTATTTTGTGCAAAAAAAAAATTATGAACCTTCAGAAGAAAACATATGTGGTCATCTATTCCTTAACTGCCAACACACAGGATTTTAACATAGAGTTTATTTTAAACTAAGCCAAGAAATCCTTGGAGTCCAAGTTGTTTTTCCATTAGAGGTATGAAACTTGGCCCCACATGTTTCTGTTCTGGAAAAAGTCCATTGACGCTCTGAATCACCTGGTAACATAAATTAACATTAGGTAGGTCTTAGAACATAACCCTCATAGGCACAGCAGGAAAAAGGAAATTGGAAAAATATAACCCTGCTTTCAGAATGTATTCACTTAAAACTTCACAATATTCATTGCCCAGTAGGAATATGTCAAAATAATTATACAAGCATGCTGTACTTAAGAACTCTGTGAAGTGTTGGTGGGAATGTAAAATGGTACAGCTGTTGTAGAAAACAATTTAAAATTTAAAATAGAATTAACATATGACCCATCAATTCCACTTCTGGGTATTTACCCACAAGGACTGAAAGCAGGGTCTCAACGAGGTATTTATACATCTATGTTCACAGCAACATTATTCATGATGGCTAAAATGTGGAAGCAACCCAAGTGTCTATCAACAACAGATAAATGGTTAAGGAAAATGTGGTATACACACACACAATGGAATATTAGTCAGCCCTTTAAAGGAAGGAAGTTCTGACCTCTGCTACAGCATGAATGAGCCTTGAGGGCATTACACTAAGTGAAATAAGCCAATCACAAAAAGAAAAATGCTGTACAATTCCACTTACATGAAGTACTTACTAGTACTTCAAAATTATAAAGACAAAAAGTATAGTGGTGGTTACCAGGGGCAAAGGGGAGGAGAAAATAGAGAGTTATTGTTTAATGCGTGTAAAGTTTTAGCTCTACAAGATGAAAAGAGTTATGGGGATGGATGGTGGTGATGGTTGCACAGTAACATGAATGTATTTAATATCACTGAATGTGAATGTATTTAATATTTAATAAAAATGGCTCAAATGGTAAATTTTATGGTATGGGTATTTTACCACACTTTTAAAAAGTGAAGAAAAATTCTGTGAAGAACTCAAAATAATCATGGGACCAGAAATGTAGGTACCTGTAAGTAAGAACTAAATATGAACTGTCTGCTCTCAAGGTGACTTAGCTAGTACAAACCCAGACCATCTGAGGTCAGAGACTGTCATTTTCACCACTATGCTGTCTCTGATTTTGTTCAGTGCGAGAATTTCTATAATGCTTAGCAAAACTCAGATTATCTAATCTGGTCATTGGCTGAGTATCTTCTTCCATAAGAATTATCGAGTTTTATATTACAAAAGACCACAGAGTTCATCTTACCTAGTCTTTCCACCAATGCAGGGTTCCCTCATAACATACCTCTTCTCTGACAACAAGCCAGCTCTTTCTAGATACCTTTGATAACGAGGAGGCCCCTAATCTGAGGATCAGAAGTGTTTTGCTAGAAAAGGTACTTGACAACTTTTAGAGATGGCAAAATCCACCAATGTTTGTCAATACCTTTTGGTAACCAGTTTGCAAACCATCAACAAAAAGTGTAAGTATGAAAAGTATCACTTAAAATTCCTCAATGAAACATCAAATGTTATGGTGAATAAAGTGTTCTTTACCATAGAAGGCAATGTGAGAGTATTATTGACTTGAGTCACACAATCTGTCTCATGAATAAATGCATATCTTAAGTACACCCATGTTGAAACAATTGGACTTTATGTGTTTGAAGACATCTAAACAGCAAATGTATGCACCAAAACTAATTTTTTTTGTCAGTGAGTTGGACAAACAACCAATGGGTTTTAACAACTACAGAAGGAAAAGAGAGAGCAATGCTCACCAAAAAGAATGGAGGTGACTAATGGATCATGGATAGCAATGTTTCAAAGACAGTTGCAATATAATTGGGAGTGGTAGAAAGTGCATACCAGGGGCAATAATGATTGTTATTATCATGGTTTGGCTCATAGAAAAATAATAGCACATTTAAGTGCTATTGATATTAGTTTAATGATGCACTAATATTTTCTGAAAAATTACCAGACTTTCAGTAACATCCATAGAGTCACACACTCAAGAAATGTGTCCTTGATAGATAGCTGTGAAAGAATGCTTCCCTTGTTAGGGCACCTAGGTGGCTCAATGAGTTAAGCACCCAATTCTTGATTTTGGCTCGGGTCATGATCTTAGGGTCTTGAGATCAAGCCCTACATCAGGCTCTACACTGGGCGTGGAGCCTGCTCAAGATTCTCTCTCTCCATCTCCCTCTGTCCCTCCACCTCTACTCATGCTCTCTCTCTCTCTCAAAAAAAAAAAAAAAAGAAAAGAAAAGAAAATGAAATTGTTTCTCTTGCATTCCCCAGCAGGCTTAGAATCATATTTTATCTTAAAAAAGAGTTAAACCAAACAAGAGATGGATATCCCAGTCAGGAACTAAGACATATAATAATTCTTTTTAAGTTATTTTATAAATATAAAATCAAAGGAATAATGAGAAGAATAAACACATATTCAAAAAACTCCAGTCTTGCCTAGATCATTAGTGATGAACTTTAAAGGCAAGAACATTTTAAGATTGTTTTACTTTTATATTATAATAACTAAATATAAATATTTTATTTGAATCAAGAGTAAATTTAGATCAGTAAATGCCTCATTTCTAGAGCATTCAATTTGCATTTGGGCATCAAAACACATACTTGCTTATAAATAAATCCTTCACATAATTATACTTCTATGGTACTTTGATAGTTATGGTATGTTCCTGACCACCGAGGGGGTCAAAAAAGATCATTCTATATATAAATTGTTTTACTAAACAACCCTCCCACTGAAAAGTAATTACCACCAAGAATCCATTTTCAAGGGAAATACAGAGGAACAAACATAGTTTGTTATTTATTAATACTATTAGCTTCCCTCTGCATTAATCCTAGCCTAAGGATAAATATACCTAGTCTATTACAGTTTAGTTCACAGATTAGAATGACAAAGTGAAGTACAGACCCTTCAGGTCATAAATATCACTAAAAGAAAGAATTAATTTTGAAGAATTTTCAATTACATACCAAAAAGCTATGAGTGTCCTTGTTCCAGGTCTGTTGCCTCTGATCTGTACAAGAAAAAGACAAGAAAGGGGTCATGAGGTTTCTGCTTGGACCTCACTCCCTAGAAGGAAGTCAGAATCTTACCACATCACCCCTGAGAAGAGGCAACAAAACAGTAACTTGCCCATCATAAAAACTACCCAATGTCTCTCTTGGAAAATGAGACAGAAAGTTCTATCTCACAGGAAAGAAGACCTAGGTATAAACTAGCAGGAAATCATTAAGCTGAGATCTCTTGGAATTGAATGTTTTCTAAACGATAGTGTGAAAATAATGTTCAAATCCCTTTGAACACTACTCAAGATATATTTTTACTTTATTTTTAAATATCTTGAAAGATGTTCACATGGATTTAGAACTTCCATCTGTTTTCCTGGAATTCTGTCAGTGGGAAAATGTTTCGTATTAGTAATAATCATCCCACTCATTGCCTAAACCATAAGTTTAAAAAATACAGATTTTTTAAGACTTCATTTTTTAAGAGCAGTTTTAGGTTTATAGTAAAATTGAGAGGAAGGTACAGAGATGTCTCCTATACCCCCTGCCCCCACATGTGCATAGCACCCCCCCCCATTATCAACATCACTCACCAGAATGGTATATTTTTTACCAAGGATGAACCTACACTGACACATCATAATTAGCTAAAGTTCATAATATACCTTACAGTTCACTGTTGGTGTTGTACATTCTATGTTTATAGAAAAAATGTACAGTGACATGTATCTATCATTATAATATCATATGATATAATATCATAGTATTTTCATTGCCCTAAAAGTCCTCAGTGCTCTGCATATTCATTTCTCCCATCCCAAGCAACCACTGAACTTTTTACTGTCTCCATAGTTTTGCTTTTTCCAGAATGTCATATGGCTGGAATCATACAGTATGTAGCCTTCTCAGATGGGCTTCTTTCACTTAGTAATATGCATTAAAATTTCCTTTATGTCTTGTCATAGCTTGATAACATATTTCTTTTTAGCACTAAATAATATTCCATTGTCTGAATGTATCAATTTCTTTATCCATTCACCTACTGAAGGACATCTTGGTTGCTTCCAAGTTTTAGCAATTGTGAATAAGCTGCTATAAATACCCATGTGCAGATTTTTGTATGGACGTAAGTTTTCAACTCCTTTGGGTAAATACCAAGAAGCATGATTGCTGAGCTAGCTATATGGTAAAATTATGTTTAGATTTTTAAGAAACCACTGTATTCCAAAGAAACTGTCTCCCAAAGTGGCTATTCCATTTTGCATTCCCATTAGCAATGTATGAGAGTTCCTGTTGCTCCACATCCTCACTGGCATTTGGTGGTGTCAGTGTTCCAGATTTTGGTCATTCTAATAGGTGTGTAAGTGGTTATCACAATTCTGTTTTGGGGTGCCTGTGTGGCTCAGTCATTAAGTGTCTGCCTTCAGCTCAGGTCATGATCCCAGGGTCCTGGGATCAAGCCTGGCGACAGGCTCCCTGCTCTGCGGGAAGCCTGCTTCTCCCTCCCCCACTTCCCCTGCTTGTGTTCCCTCTCTCGCTGTGTCTCTCTCTGTCAAATAAATAAATAAAAATCTTAAAAAAAAATTCTGTTTTAATTTAATTTCCTTGATGACATATGGAGCGTCCTTTTACATGATTATTTTGTATGCTTATTTGCCATCTGTAAATCTTTGATGAAGTGTCTGTTAAGATATTTAGTCCATTTTTTAATAAGGTTGTTTATCTTATTATTGAATTTTAGGAGTTCATTGTATATTTTGGATAACAGTCCTTTATCAGATGTATCTTTTGCAAATACTTTCTCCCAGTCTGTAACTTGTCTTCTAATTCTTTGTACTGCCTTTGTAGAGAAGTTTTTAATTTTAATGAAATCAATATATTAATGTTTTCTTTCATGGATCACATCTTTGATGTTATATCTAAAACAATATCACCATACTCAAGTTCATCTAGGCTTTCTCCTACACTATCTTCTGGGAGTTTTGTGTTTTCTATACAGGTCTATGATATAGTTTTAAATATAATTTTCTCCATCACTTCCTTAAGTAGAGATAATCATTTTTGTGAAGGGTATATGGTCTGTGTCTAGATTCATTTCTTTGCCTGTGGGTGTCCAGTTATTCCAGCACCGTTTGTTGAAGAGACTATCTTTGCTTCAATGTATTGCCTTTGCTCCCTTGTCAAAGATCAATTGACCACATTTATGAGGGTCTATTTCTGGGCTCTCTATTCTACTCCATTGATCTATTTGTTTATCTTTTTACCAATACCACACTGTCTTGATTACTGAAACTTTATAGTAAGTCTTGAAATTGGGTAATGTCAGTCCTCTAACTTTGTTTTTCTCCTTCAATATTGTTTGGTTAGTCTGGGTTTTTTCCCTCCCCATATAAACTTTAAAATATATTTGTCAATATCCAAAAAACAAATTGCTGATATTTTGATTGGGATTGAATTGCATCTATATGTCAATTTTGGAAGAATTGACATGTTGACAACATTGAGTCTTCCTATCCATAAACATGGACTATCTCTCTAGCTAGTTCTTTGATTTTATTCATCAGAATTTTTCCTCATATAGATCTTGTATACATTTTGTTAGATTTATACCTAAGTATTTCATTTCTGGGGGACTAAGGTAAATGATAATTGTGTTTTTTATTTCAAATTCCCCTTGCTCATCATTGGATATAGGAAAGCAATTGACTTTTGTATATTAACCTTGTGTCCTGCAACCTTGCTATAATCAGCTATTAGTTCCAGGAGGTTTTTTGTTTGTTTGTTTTTGGGGGGTTTTTTTGTCAGTATTACAGACTTTCTACATAGATGATCATGCCACCTAAGAACAAAGAGTTATGTCTTCCTCTTTATATCTTTTTTATTTTCTTTTCTTGCTTTATTGATTAGCTAGAACTTCTAGTATGATGTTGAAAAGTAATGAGAAGAAACATCCTTGCCTTGTTCCTGATCTTAGTGGGAAAGCTTTCTCACCATTAAGTATGGTGTTAGCTATAGGCTTTTTGTAGGTAGTCTTTATCAATAGCTATCAATATAAGTATAAATAGTTCCCTTCTCTTCCTAGTTTACCGAGAGTTTTTAACATGAATTGGTGTTAGAGTTTGTCAAATGTTTTTTCTGTATCTATTGATATGATCATGTGATTATTCTTTTTAAATCTGTTTATGTGATGGATTGCATTAATTGATTTTTAAATGTTGGACCAGCCTTGCATAACTAAGATAAATCTTACTTGGTTATAAAAATTCTTTTTATACTTTTTTGGATTAGATTTTCTAATATTTTATAGAGTACTTTTGCACCTATGTTCATGAGAGATATTGGTCTGTAGTTTTCTTGTAATGTCTTTGTCTGGTATTGGTATCAGGATAATGCTGGCTTCATAGAATGAGTTAAGACATATTCTCTCTGCTTCTATCCTCTGAAAAGTCTTTAGAGAACTGATATAATTTCTTCCTTAAATATTTGGTAGAATTTGCCAGTGAACCCATCTGGAACTGGGTCTTTCTGTTTTGGAAGGTTATTTATTATTGATTCAATTTCTTTAATAGGTATAGACCTATTCAGATTATCTATTTCATCTCATGTGAGTTTTGGCAGATTGTGTCTTTCAAGGAATTGGTCCATTTCATCTAGATTGTCAAATTTGTGGGCACAGAGCTACTCATAGTATTCCTTTATTATTCTTTTAATTTCCATGGAAGCTGTAATGATGTCACCTCTTTCATTTCTGATAATAGTAACTTGTGTCTTCTCTCTTTTTTCCTCAGTTAGCCTGGCTAGAGGTTTACTGATTTTATTGGTCTTTTTAAAGAACCAGCTTTTGGTTTCATTGATTTTTCTCTATTGATTGCCTATTGTCCATTTCATTGATTTTTGCTCTAAGTCTTATTATTTCTTCTTCTTACTTTGGATTTAATTTGTTCTTCTTTTTCTAAGTTCCCAAGATGGAAACTTAGATTATTGATTTTAGATTTTTCTTCTTTCCTAATATATGCATTCAATTCTATAAATTTCCTTCAAGCACTGCTTTTGCTGCAAGGTTCTTCTTTTTTAAGCCTGTATATTTATATCTCACAGTAAAATGAGATGGCAGAAAAACATGATCTGTAAAGGACAGATACATTAGAAGAAGATCTGTTTTTTAATGACTCATCTGTTTCAAATATTTGGTTTTTTTAACCTTTTAAATTTTCCTCCAACTTTTCATTTTGAAAGTTTTTAAAACTATAGGAAAGCTGTGGGAATATTTAACAATGAACATCTGGATAGCCTTCACTAGATTCCTAAATTATTACCATTTTGCCACATTTGCTTTATCTCTCTGTCCACATGTATAAATATTTTGCCAAACCATTTGAGAATTACTTATAAAGATGGTTGACTTCTAAAAACTTTAGCATGGACATCACCTCACACCTGTCAGAATGGCTAAAATCAACAACGCAAGAAACAACAGGTGTTGGAGAGGATATGGAGAAAGAGGAACCCTCTTGTAATATTGGTGTGAATGCAAACTGGTACAGCCACTCTGGCAAATACTATGGAATTTCCTCAAAAAGTTAAAAATAGAATTACCCCAAGATCCAGGATTCACACCACCAGGTATTTATCCAAAGAATACAAAAATACTAATTCAAAGGGATGCATGTACTCCAATGTTCAAAGCAACATTATGATACCATAGCCAAATTATGGAAATTGCCCAAGTGCCCATATACTGATGAATGGATAAGAAAGAGATATTACTCAGACATAAAAAATAATGAAATCTTACCATTTGTGATGACATGGATGGAGCTAGAGAGTATTATACTAAGCAAACTATGTCAGAGAAAAACAAATGCCTATGATTTCACTCATATGTGGAATTTAATAAACAAAGCAAATGAACAAAGGAGGGGCAAAAAAAAAAGAGAGAGGCAAACCAAGAAACAGACTCTTAATTATAGAGAACAATCTGATGGTTACCAGAGGAGAAAGGGGTGAA